ATACCATAAAAGACATCAATTAACTGTTGATTTATGAGTGCAGGGAGAAATCAGCAGTCATAAGCTCTAAACTAAAAGGATTGTAATTCTGGTATTTTAAGTCTTTCTTTTGTGCTCAGCTTCTCTGTGTTTTGTGTGATCTTTCCCTTTCAGGTTGCTTTCCCCTCATTTAATCCTTTTTAGGTGGTGGGGCAGTGAGATCTGTGTGTGAAGGGAAGCCATTGCTCACAGTGTAACCAGGGGTGGGGAATAGGAATTCCTATTTAGTAGCCAGGTGGCTACTAGTAGGAATTCCTAAATTTAGTATCCAGGTGGGTTATCTACCACATCTGTGCAGAGAGTGCAACATTGGGGTCAAAGTTTTAAATGGCCAAATTACAAATGATCCTCTCTTTCCTCTAGCTGCGCTTCCAAGTCCACCTGAGTCTGCAGAAGATGATGTGAAAATGGCTCAGATGTCCCTGCAGCAAAACAAACTTTCTGTCCAGTCAAATCCATCTCCACAGCTGAGGGGGGTGATGAAAGTGGAGAACTCTGAAAATGTCCCAAGTCCTACACATCCTCCAGTTGTAATCAATGCTGCAGATGATGATGAAGATGATGATGGTGAGCATCTTTTACTTATTTGGAAGCATTTCTGCTCTAAGTGAATGTATAAATCACAGCATACCTGAATTGTGTATGGTTAAAGCTACAGACAAGAGTCTGGAGTCCTAAATATTATTTTCCAAGTATAGCTCTTTCACTTATTATGAGTTTGTCAAGTCAATATGTAACTTTAAAAAAATCCTTCTGTAAACAATTGCTTCTGTTTGTAGTTAAGAATATGAACAGATTAGGAAACGTGGGCTAAAATTCATTTTGAGCTACATAAACGTGAAAAATCTGTCTAATCCCAACTCCATAACTGAATAGGTTTATTTCTGCCTTTTACTTCTCCGAGGGGTCCCGCCGGCGCCTCTAACCCCGGACAAAGCCTTTGCCTGTGGGGTGAGGAGGAGAGTGCCCCCCTTCCCGCCCACCTCTGCCGTGGCAGCGGTTCCTTACATCTACCTTCCTGTCAGGCTGTGTCCTGCCGCCATGGCACCAGGCCTCAGCCGATGAGGTGGCTATCCCTTCCCTCAAGCTCCAGGTGCCTCAGGGTTACGCTTTCCAAGCCAGAGGCCGCTTTGTGTTTTCAACCCAATTTCCCGGGCTGGCAAGTGCTTGCCCTGGGGCCTTGAGACACCTCAGGCTGGGCTGTGCCCTAGGGAGGGAGGCCTGGGCCTGGCTGGGGTGGTTTGGGTCGCAGCCATTTCTTGGTCAGTGTGAGCTTGTCAAGACTTCATGGCAGATCACAGACCTAAACCTGCTTCCTCTGCTTTTCTCCTCTCTGTCCCGGCGTGCTGGTGTCCTGCTTTCCCTGGTTTGATCCCAGCAGCAGTGGTAAACAGCCACCTTGGCAGCAGGAGCAGTGTCCAACCTCAGGAAGAGGGTACGGGGGCAGCCCCACCGCAGTACAGGCACAGTGGGCACAGCCATTTTCTCTATTAAATGACTAACAGTTCTCTGATTTATTTATTTCTTTGCATCCAGCCTGAACTATGTTTTAAAAAAAGATGCAATCGTGGCCGTTCTGTTTAATTAGGAGCTGGAGGATGCTGTCAGCACAGACACCTCCCCAGGAATGCAGGAAAGCGGGTGACGCTGCACAGTAAAGCTTTTACACCCTGTTCATATCACCTGGCATCAGCTCCAACGCTCAGGCAGCTGTGAAGTCTTAGATTGAACTTTCTCATTGACAGCCTCGCCCAGCTTGATGAGCGTTCTCATCATGGCTTGGCCCTGGAGTTTTTAAATAGGGAAGCAACTGCGTCTCCACTGAAGCCAGGGAGTTAAACTATTCCAGTGCAATCAACCCGCTTGGAAATCAGAGTATTTCAGGGGCTGGTTGCTTTTATTTCCCCTTGTTCTTGCCTGGGCAATGTGCCTCTATGGAGGCAAAATAGTCTCAGTACAGAGGCAGGACATGGCTTGAAGCCAGTCCCCAGGAGATGGAGATTACAACCTCGACCTTAGAGGCACCGCAGACATGGCGTTGGCGAAGGGGACAAGGGGGGATCTTTGCTCGCAGGCAGCTCGACACGTAGCCCAGGAGCACTGGTTTGGGTGGCATTTGGCAGCCAATTCCAGACTGCTTGGAGATGGAAGAAGCTGTGCTTGAGGCAAAATGCCGGGTGCAACCAGCCAGCCCCTGCCTCTCAGTAGCGAGGCTTACACAGAGGGGAACCCCACCCGAAGGGCTGCCTTTGTAGCGGCAGGCTTGCTTTTGATCCCCATCCCTTTTTCCACCCTGCAGGCCCCACTTTCACACTCCGGCTTGCTCCGACGGGAAGCCCAGCCCTTCATCCAGTGCTAGGAGAGGATGTGGGATTGATTTCACAAGCTGGTGGACACACTGAGGACGTCATAGTTACATGTGGGCACATTTTATTCTCTGGATGCACTTGCGCATTGTTTCAGCTCAACAGCCAAAGCTTTATTGATTCAAAACCGTTACCCTTCTCCCCCACCCCGCTTTATTTTTTTACTATGCACCCCCCTTTCCCACCCCTCAACCACGCTTCTGCTTCCACTTTGAGTATTATCTCTGCTTGGAGTCTGTTTTCTCAGAAGAAGCCAACTGACAATTCATTCAAAATTTTTTTCTCCCAAGAACCATATAAATTACATGCAAAACATTGTACATAGAGATTAATATCAAAATGCAATACAGATCAGGTGCACTTTAAGCTGGACTCTAGGATATGGCAAACACACCAGGGTACATATTGCTTTGAAACCACCGTTTGTTTTTGTTTTTTTTTTAATGTCATGCATACCACATAATATTCAGTCTTTTGTTTTGTATTTTTCTGTTTTTATACAAAAATACCAGTGCTTATTATACTTAGTTACTGGAAAAGAAAAACTCAGATCTGTGTGCCCTCTTCTAAAGAAAGTTTTGTTGTGAGAGCATTGGATAAATATATATACACACATAAATGTTGATTTAATACTGTATATATATATATATTTATTTAAGGGGAGGAAATAAACTAAAGGCAGTTTTAGCCATGGGCTTTGCTGAATGAAAATTTTTAACTTGTATTGAGCAGAAGGATATCGGAGGCGGGACAGCCAGAGATCAGCCAGTCTCGGTGGCAGAGGACAGCCTTGGCAGAGAGATGCTGGAGAGGAACAGCCAGGTGCCAGGAAACACACCGGCGTGACCCCACAGCCTCGCTGTTTGGGGCAGGACCAGCAGAGCATTACCCCCACATCGCCGTGCCCCGCAGGGGAGAGCTGGGTTTGCAGGAGGACGTTTTACCGTGCCTGCTTCAGAGGTTGATAAACTTTGTGTAGGAGCTGGACCAAGTCGTGAGAAGGGATGGCAGGGAGGTACAGGTGTCCTTCCCCCCCCGCCCCCCGAGAGGTACAAAAAGCTTGCAGGGACTCTTCTTTGAGGTGCTTGGTCCCTCCAGTCACACAGGGTGACAGGAGTTGGCAATGGCATCTTGGAGATGCCCTCCCCAGATCTGGGATGGGGCTTCTCCATTCACCCCAACAAGCATTTCTAAAGGAGCTGAGCACTACAGGACATCTATCTACTCCTCAGCTGGGGAAAGCCAAAGGCTGCCCATGCTAAAATTTGGTTTAGTTTTTTTCCTTCTTGAGATTGTTCCAAAATTTTCCTCAAAGCTTATTGCACAAAACCTTTGAAAATTAAGTATAACCCCTGTGCAAATCAAAGGAAACCTCATCACATAATGCAAATGCCTAAAAATGCCTGTTCAGCAATGCACACAGGACGTGGTGTAATGTCTTTGGTACCAATCCGCCAATTTATTTAACAGAAAACCACCACCACCACCAGAGACCCTACTGTTATTAAGAACTGGATGCAAAATTATGTTCAGAGTGTTTTAATAACAAAGCATTCCAAGGCAAGTTAACACGTATCACAGGGTATGACTTCGGTAAAAAAAAAAAAAAAAAAAAAAAAAAAAAAAAAAAAATTTTTTAAAAATCTCCCCCTCTTTCAAGGCATGTTGCAGAGAGTCCCCAGAAGTTCGTGCTGCTGACCATGCCTTTCAGCGTAGAGCACCAATCTCCCCCAACTCTTTTGTAATGTCCTCAATAACTTAACCCAATAGTCATCTGCTGCCAGTATATCACTGAAACTAAATAGAAAAAAAAAACAAAACAACCAAAAAACCCTTTACAGAAAAGATGTATGCACAATAAACGTTTATACTTTTAAGCAACCAGCCATACCAACATAATTTACATTAAAAAAAAAAACCCAAACATTTGTGTCATCCAACTAACATCTAGTAGAAAGATGGCTGCTCAGAGAAAAGGAAGCTGACTGGCATCCGATCGCTGATACACTGAATTAATTACCTGATACACTGAATTAATTACCTGTCACCTTGAACTGCCGTCACACAGTCACGCGCCGTTGCAGACGCGCGACTCAAGATTTATTTTATTTTTTTTTTCTTTAAACAAAATACATATGGCTGACGTAAAAATATCAGTTTCTGATCTAAAGAAAACTATATTTTTTTTTGCATAATATTTATATATAATTATTTCTCCCCCTCCTAATATGGAAACTAGAACAACAACAACAAAAAAAATTATATCAACTAAAGAACAACCAGACCCTTGTGGCAACCTGCCAGTCACAGATTTCTGGGAGTGACTTTGAGAGCCTCCAAAGTTGGCTTTTTGTTGGCTTTTTGTTGGCTGAAGTCTTTTTTTTTTATTATTTTTTTTTTAAAACAGGTCTGAGGTATTAAAAAAATATCAAAAGAAAAATTGGTGTGTCCACCCCCCAAAGTATTCAATAAATATTTATGTAAGCTTGTAAGAATACCATATTTTCATCTTTTTTTTTCTTTTTTTGCAAGTATTTAAAATAGAAAAAGTGATCTTTTAAGCAATTCACCTTTAGTACAGAACCAAACCCCACAACCACCCCTTTTGTCTTTCCTGTCACCACTTGTGTATATAACCTAAGAAAACGCACACCCCCCCACCCCCTGGTCCTGCCCAAGGTATTTTTTTTTTTCAGCTCGTGCGAAGAAGGAACGGGGAGGGCAGCGATGGGTTTGTGTGGGCAGGGGGATCGACACTGAATTTGCAATTGAGATGGGCAGTGGTGGCAATTTCTTCTTGCTGTTGGCAGTGTACGGAGCCCAGCCTTCACCCCCTTTGCCAGCACCGAGGCAGGAGACCTGGGAGAAGGACCTTTCCTCAGCTACTTGGGGCAGGAATGGGGCGACCTCGTCCTTCCCTCCTCCCAGGCCAAGGAAGGGACGAGTCAGTGCTGGGCTGGAAACAAAACAAAGACACTTGGTTTGTGTTGTTGTTTAAGGAACACTTATTTCTTGGCAAAAGTACTGGGCCCTCGCGTGGCAGGCGGTGCTGCAGGCAGTGCTCAGAGAAGGCACGGGAGATTCTGCTGTGCGTTCTTAAAGGAAAAGAAAAAAAAAAAAAAAAAAAAAAAAAAAAAAAAAAAAAAAAAAAAAAAAGAAGAAACCAGCCAGCCCACTCTCTCGCTAAAACCTCTCTGCTTCCAGGGATGGAGGCTGGGCAAAGACGATGACGTTGTACAGCCAGTTACAACCAGGATCTCTCTGCTTCCAACCAAGCCGAACAGGATGAAGGAGAGAAGGCAGCAGAGCTTCCTCCGGCCCTGCCTGCCTGGGGCCAGTAATCTGGGGTGCACCAGCAAGAGCCTGCAAGGAGGAAACTAAGCCCAGGTAAAGCAAAGTCCTGCCTCCTGCTCAGTCCCATGGCTTCACCAAGAGGGTCAGGTCAGAACCAACTTGCCCAGGACACCTGGGGCCTCTGCTCCAAAAAAAACAAGACTCTAATAGTTACAAGAAACCGAGGTGAGGCAGGACACAGGGTGAAGAGATGACCTTCAAAACAGCAGCAAGTGAGGTAAAGCCTCCACGTGGCACCTTCTCTGGAAAACCTGCAGCCAACCAACCAACCTGCCACCTCTGCGAGGAATTGTCTCCACTGGCAAATCGGCTACAGAATTCCTATGGAAACCAAGGGTCCTCCCTTCGGCCATGGAGCCTCTCTCCCTTCCACCAGGCTAAAGAGACAACCCGACTCATCCCTTCCATGATCTAGGAGGTGACCCACTGCACTCAACAACCCAACGCTTGCTCTCCGTTCAGCCTGCTAACACTTTGGCAGCGATGTGCAGAGCTGGGGGGCATGGCTGGAGCATCCTCTGGGGTTCCTCAGCAGTTAACCAGAGCTTGTACTCTTAAGGCTGAAGGATTATTTAACCCAACAGTCCAGACAAGCTAGAACAGGCAAAAGTCCCTCTGCTCTTGATGGAAGGAGCTGTTAAACCTTTGCCAGAAGTTTCACAGCTGTTCAAAAGCAGCAGAGATGCATTTCTTAAGACTCCCCAGGAAGAAGCCCTGTTTCTCACAACCATGGGGTTTTTCTTCCCCACCTTTCCACTGCCAGATCACCTCCACCTTGCTCTGTAGAAAATTCAGAATCTTTTACATCCAGCAAGGTTACAAGCCAAGTCACCTTCATTCCTTGTCTACCAGTTACTGCTTTGGAAACAGAGAGAGAAAAGTGTGTGTGCACACACACAGAGGAGGAACTGTAAAGGCTAGGTACCATTTTTCAAGGTGGAAGACTGGTGTACATCCCTGTATCTATCAACCTGTGAGTAAACACCTTCCCCCTGGCTGTTGGTTTGTGGTTTTTTTTATTTATTTTAAAATTTTTTTGCACTAGAGTGCTAACTCCCCCACTTCCCACTGTGAAGTTAGCGGGGGTAAATCCCACAAGCAAAGAACAAACCCCAACATTAGAAGAAAACCCTAAAAACCACAAGTGGAAAAAAAAAAAAAAGTCACAAGTGCACCCCAGCCCTCAGGCTGAGAGCGTGCATGTAAGACTACAACAATTTGAACTTTCTTTGAACATGCATTTTTCAAAGTGAAAACCCCCAACAGACGTATGGAGCCCAACTCTCGGAGAGGAAATAACCTGGCTGCTTCACTTGGGTGAGTACCACTGAAAATTAGGGATGGAGATGCACAATTCTGGCTGAGCCTCTCTCCCAACACCCAGCATTGTGGTACTCTGGTTCCCACTGCTAAATAATGGTAAAAAAAAACAAAAACAAAAAAAACAACAAACAAACCAACAACAGAAACAAAACAAAAAAAAAAACCCAAACAAAACACCAAAACGATATACGTATGAGCAGTTTGACACGAAGTGACCGCAGTGTGTGATCAGTTACTGGTGCCAATATCACACATGGCGAGGGGCGAAGGTGGAGGAGGAGGGGGGGTTCGAAGTTCTAAGGTCAAACCGATGTCTCCAAGCTGTGTAAGGGGCTTTCAGGCTCCGGGACGGTGACCTCAGCTTGATCGCTGTCCACTGCATTGTTATTTCTGTTGAGGGATGTCGGTCCACCCAGGCTACCCCCACCTCGCTTTTTGAGTCCATCAGTCTCGGGGTCGTCTTCAGCGCCGTCAAGGAATGGTGTTCGAGGCTCGTCTTCCTCCAGGATGAACTCTGGGTGAGTCATGAAGTTATGGATGGAGCTTCTGGATTCGGGTTTCTCGAGGCCTTCATACAAGGAGCTACGGAACGCATTCACCACTTTGATCTGCCGGGAGGCGAGGAGCATGGGGGATAAACAAAAGAGGGGTTAGTAACGGCTACAAGAGGCCAGAGCTCCCAGGAGAAGGTAAAAATAAATAATAAAGACACAATAAACAAAAAGCACAACAACAGCAACAACAGTCACCACCACTGAACAGACAGCTAAGTCAAAATGAGAGATCTATGGTGAACTACGAGGGCCAACATGGATCAGACTCAGGCACTAGGTGTGTGATGGGGAATCAACCGACTATGGGGAGACTTCAGAAGCTGCAAGAAAAGACACGAGAAAAACTCAAAAAATCAGATCACTTCAAATGAATGGAAGCCAAAATGCATTAGTTGTCATTGTGTGTGCGCACGCATATCCGTGTGTATAAACGAGGACAAAAAAAGTGGAACTACAACTCAAAAAAGAGGTGGGTTAGACAAACAGCGGGTTCACTTCAAGGCAAAAAAAAAAGCTCTACCGTGGGAGCGATGTGTGTGTTTGTTCTGCTTAATTTTTAGACCTATAGAAAGGAATGGGCTTTAAAAAGGTGTCGCAAACTTTTCAAGCCCGCATGAAGCAGCAGGTCCAAGTGGATACCACGACCAGTAAACCAGACCCAGCTAAACATGCAAGAAGGAAGCCAGATCTGTGCGAGTTTCCCCGCACAGCTGCCACCTGGATCCCGGGCGGGAGCTCTGGATCCTTCCCTACACCGACATGCTGAAGACGACCCAGCGGTTTCCAAAGGCAGCTTTTCTTTTGGATGCTCTGCACGAAAACCAGATCTCAAACTTTGCTAGAAAGCCTGGCCGCGCGCTGCCTCAGTGAAACCCCCAGGCTGTCAGCACTGCCAAAAGCCAGGCTTAGGGTGTTAAGAGCAGATCCAGAACCCGGTTTGGGCAACCAGGGTCTGGCTCTGCTACCTCCAATGCACTGGGAGAGGTCTAGAAAGAAGCCTGGGCGGTGGCTAGCAGTGGCTTCACTGCTCCCTCCAGTTCATCTGGAAATCCAGCCTTGAACCCTTCCAGCTCTCGCCCTCCCTTGCAGCCAAGTCACGTTTTTTTCAGGTGGATGGGTGACAAGCGTCAGATCCAGCAAACGAAGGGGCAGGAGGTGGCAACACCGTGGGGCTGCGGCAGAGCTCAACACCCCAGCGCAGACGCTGGCACGCGTGAGACAACCAACATGTGCTCCTCGGGTGGGCAGAGCGCTCAGCTCTCGTGGATGACTCGGGGCTATAATCGCTCAAAAAGATGTCAAAAGGCATAAAACTGAAGGAGAACAATGCAACGTGTGGGCTTTTGAAGCAGAGCCAGCAAACCGAGCAGCTGAAGGTCTCCCAAGTCTTAGAGGACCAGGTGAAATCACACACGTGGCTTTGGCTTTTACTGCAAAGCCGAGAGCTGCCCACCTCACAGTGCCCTCCAGAGCATCCCGCGGGTCGCTCCGCTGTCTTACACCGATGCTCTCCTCACTCACTCTTTCAGACCAGAGCCAACAAGTTGCCTCTCTCCAGAGGTCTCTCACCAGGTCATCCCAGCACCCTCCAGGCTGGTGGCACCCTCCCAGTCACCTGGGAACTGGGCCAGTCTATAGAGGAAGCTACTAACAAAAGTTGTCAGCAGGGACTAGGCATCTTGCACGAGCTCTTGTGTCTTTTATGGAAGCAATAGCAATAGAAGTCTTTGCTCCGTTAAGCAAAGTTCTTCTGGGACCAGAAGATATGCTCAACTCCTTCCCTCCATAGAAAATACCTCCAGACCACCATGAGACTGTTCAGCAACACTGAGTGCAGCAGGGAAGTCGGTAACACCTCCCCGCAGCAGTGCCAGTCATCCTGCCCGCTCCTGCCCTGTGGAAGCGGCACTGCTAATCACGAGATACCTTCACCTGCTCTCAACGCCTGAGGAACCCAGTTGCCACCCATATCCCCTGCCTGTTCTCATGGTGTCCCTGTGGACTGAAGCTGGGGCACAGAAGGGAGGAGATCCACAGACCCCACAGAAGGGGTGCTCCTCCGCACCATCCCTGTGCTACACCCCGGAGAGCCTCCCCATCACTCAGCCGAGGGAGCGGAGAGCACGCAGAGCTGCTGGAGGGAGAATGATTCTGACATCCCCTTGCAAGCTGATGAGGCAAAATAAAGATACGTGTGTGTTCTGGCACTTCTTTGCAAACAGGCTGCAGATCTGGTGGGTGAACGGAGAGGACACCCCTCTTCTTGGTGAGATGAGCTGGGTTTAACTGTCCCCCTCGGTCTGGTACAGGGGCAGGCTAGGAGGGAAATCACCAACCAGCACAGCCAGTGAGAGCCTCCCGGGGATCTTTGGTCTCAGCACAAACAGCACTCACAAAACCAGACCAGACCAGTTACTCAGAGAAGAGTTTTGTGCCTGGGACCCTGTAGATTTTACCTGCAAGGTGTTGCACCCCCTTTCATGAGGGATGATGCCCTTCCGAGTCCACTCTCCATCTGGCTCAGAAAGATGCTGCTGCACCCCACGGGGCAGCAACGTGGCATCCCCCAGGCACAGGCTCAGCACATCCCAGCTAGAAACAAGCCAGCTCAGCTCTTGCACATACACACACACACCCCAACTCGCACCTGCGGGTTGGATGACAGACGCTCATGAGGAGATGAGCGTGGGCCAGGTACCCCCCCTACCCCCATCATGCTGGAGCACCAGTTGGCCTGCAAAAATGGAAAGTTTATGCAGCTGGGAACCAATTCAGAGCTGTGTTTGACACACTAATGACCACAATAAGGTCCTGGGTAAATTCAGTGTTTAGTGTGAATGCACAAGGACAAGGGAGACCCCCAAGCAGGGCACCTTCTGCCAGGACTGATAATCTGTCACATCATAAACAACTGCAAGCACTGACAAAAGCATCGACCCCTAAAATGTCATGTATAAAACCAACTAAACCAAGTGTAACCAACCCAAAGGAGCTAGCGGAAGCCTAGGTGACTGCCAAAGCAACTAGGTGGTCAGTCTAGGACAAGCTCAGAGGAAGGAATAGCTTCACAGAAGCCCTCCCTGCCCCATCACCTCAAGCACTGGTGAGTCCAGAGCCTACCACCACATCACTGCCTTTAGCTTCACCAATAAACTGCTGCTGCAGGTTTCCTCAGATTTTCTTACTTTGATTTAACCATCTCTGTCAGCAACTGCTGTGAAATTAATTAATTCAGCTGTTCCCTTGTCAAAGGAAATGTGTTTTGAAAGAGCCAAGCAGTGCAAACAAAAATTAAATCCTCCTCAACCACGCTGAAAGCCTCCCTGCCCATGGTCAAGCTCACGCCTCCTCTCCACCTGAAACCTTCTCAACCTGCATAACCTCCACGCTTTGAATTTATTCTCATTTCACTCCATCGCTTCAGCACCGCAATGTGCTGGGCAAACCCCACTGCTCACAGAGATGGAAATTACATTTTCTGCATGAAGCCAGCACCAGCTGCACCACTGACCCCTGGCTTGCTCTGCCCAGCTCCCTCAAACCAGGGTGAAATCCCCGAGAGAGACCAGCTCAGCTCTGCAAACCATGTCCTGAGGGTTATCCCCCAGACCTCCCTCTCCTCCAGCACCCCAAGAGGGGCACAGCAGCGGGGGCTGCCGAGGTCCAGCCCTGGAGAGCTCGTCCCACAGAAGTGCAGTGGAAGACAGAGGGACACCAGTAATCTGTATGGAGGGAAGTGGAGCTTAGAGAGAGAGAAGGGAAGCAGCAGAGGGAAACAGAGAGAAGTCTAGGCAGAAAACAGAGGGGAGACTTAGCACCTTGGGTTAGCTTCTGGTAAAGTTGTTTGTTGCCTGGAAGGGCACAAACTATCCAAGTTATCTATTCCCTTGCTGCAAATCAGGGAGAACATTAATCCACAGACTGTAAAAAAGCCCTGAATTTTGGTCTTGTCCACCCAAGCCCACTACCCTGAGACCCCTCTAAGCAGGTTTTCTTCCGATTAGAAAGTCTTGGTGGTGCACAGATGCAGTCGGGACCAGAAGGCAGCTGCGCTGCTTCAGAAACACTGGGGTTAAACAAAATAAAAAATTCAAGCATCAATGTCAGCTAAATAGAGAGAAAACAAAATTATCAGAAATTCTCTCTTCTCTCCCACAGTGCACAAACAGTGGAAACTGAAAGCTATTCAAAAAGTCACCAAGGGTATTTCTTTAATAAGAGGAGAACACAGAAAATGACTGTGCAATAAAAAAGCCAATTATCCGGGAAAGATACACTACCTACTCACAGCCTGGCACAGCCCTGCAGAGAGAATTCACGCTCACGTGCTCACAAGCCCATATACGCAGCTCACAAAGAACACAGAGAGGGGGCACTGCACCAGCGAGGGCTTTTCTTTGGTCTGGAAACCCCCAGCTAGATCCTGGATGCTCCGGCTACGACGGGGGACCAGCAGAGCCCTGTGCTGTCCCCACAGAGCAGCGAAGGGCACGCTTACTTGCGAGGGCTCGCTCAGCTCCGTCTCACACTGCATGCAAGTTCACAGGCAGGACAGGGGGGGCTGCTTGCTTACAAGCCAGCTCGGAAACAGCGGGCTGAACTGCAGGTGAGCAGCTCTGGTGTGTCACCGCCGGCCAGCTGAGCCTCGGTAGCCGGCTGCTCTCACACACTGGCCAACCTCTGAATCAAGGCAGGAGCAAACACCCCTTCTCACACACGTGCAAGAGGCAGAGAGCACACAGGCAGCCCGATACCGCGGCTCAGCCCATCCCATCATCACACTAACTGCTGAGGGAAGGTCTGAGCGGCCACTCTGCCTCCAAACAGATTTTCAGCTTTGGTAAAGCAACGCCTCTGCCCGTCCCTGCCCTCCTGGGGCTGGGCAGAGCCGTGATGGAGAGGAATGGCAGCTTTTGGGTGCAGCGTGCCCTTTTCACAGCAATGCTTTTAGTTGAACAAACAGTTCTTTTAATAAGAACCTCCAATTTTTGCACCCCTCAGGAGGGTGGACTCATACATCAGTCCTGCAAAGGAGGAGAAGAGGTAAAAATGGAGGAAGCAACAAGGAATGGCGGGGAGGGGGGAAGGACCAGGAAGTATCGTAAACTTGTTAAAGATGCAACAGCATAAAAACTGATTTTTTTTAAACGCTCTCCCGCCCCATCCTTCATTTTGGAAATCAGTGTGCGAGTCAAGGTTGAGGGAGAGAGAACAGGCTGGGTTAGGTTGGTGCAGGTACTCTCTGTGGTTATTAGAAGTCATGCATTGTAATAGACTATCACTCACTGCCCGCAGGAGGAGATGCAGCAGCAGCAGCAACAGCAGAAGTGGTGGGAGTGGAATTGACGGAGGAAAGAGCTACATGGGTTGGGCTAGAAACATTTTTTACATCGTGGTGCTGGCTCACGATGGAAGGCTGTCTCCTGAGGGCTCCCTGCAAAGAGGAGGCGCCGGTCTGGAATGTGTAAACTACGTCCATCTGCAAAGAACCAGAGAGTGAGATAGCGTCGCCCCGGCCAGAGACAGGGAGAGGGGTCAGGGATGGAGGGGAGCAGGGAGGAGTTTGGGCAGACACACACGGACAGGAAGGAAGAAGGAGAATGGAGAGGTGGGAGGAGGGAGGAGAGAGCCCCCCCCCACCCCGCGCTCCCGTAAACCCACACCGGGTTCGGCTTGTGTTTCTGGGAGCAGAGGAGAGGGAGGCTTCGAGCCTCTGCCCCGCTCTCGCAGGTGTGAGAGGGGCAGGGTTTAATCCCACCACCAAGAAAGAGGCTGCGGTGGGAGGGAGAGATAGAGGAAACACCTTTAGGTTATCCAACAATCTGCAGGAGGAGCAGAGGAAGAGAGAGGGCGGGCAGAGGTGCGAGCTGGCAACCGGTGGTCCAGAAAACTGCACTGGGAAAGGATTTCTGGTCCCTCAGCCCCAGGGGATGTAGAGCTGGGGGGGCCAAATCTTGGGACACACCACACGCCCGCAGCTCCCGGGGCAGCTGGCCGTGCTGCAAGACATTTCAGCCTCTCCCAGGCTCACGGCTCCGCACAGACTCAGCAGCGGAGCTGGCAGGGATGCAGCCAGGAAGCACCCTCGGCGACGGGCCACAGTTGCTCTGTGGATGCGCACCGAGGCCGGAGGAACCGAGCAGCACCCGGGTGCCACCGTGGCTTCCCAGACACTTTGCAGCTTGACCTTCCCCAGCCCCGTGCCAGCCTGGCAGAGCGCACAGCCCTGCACCACCCCGGCTTGGCCGCACGGCTCCTGGGGAAGAGGCACCTCCTCCAGACCCATGTGCAGCTCAAGCTCGCCCTGAAGATATTTTACAGGTTGCTCTGCTCCTTTCTCAGATTAATCTCCCTTCACAGAGGAAGACTCTTCCCCAGTACACCAGGCTGGCCCTGTGCTCTCATTTAAGACACACTGACTCGGGACAGAAGCCCCAAAACACTCAGGTTGGACCTGTCGGCTGCTCTGCTCAACGCGCAGGGCACCACAGCCGGGAACGAAGAGGCTAAAGAGGCCCCAAGATGTTGCTCCCAGCAACATTTTTCAGGTTGAAAGAGCTCTTCTCAACCCAGGTTCACCACAGCCGCAGGGAGGTTCCTCAGAGGCTCCGGGCTTGGCCCCAGCGGCACATCTGGCCGCTGGTACTGCAGCCGTTCATACCTACCAGGCCTCTGACACATCTGGACTGAAACAGCCCAGTTCTCCCAGAACTTCTTTCACGTGAATGAACCAAACCGAGCTGGCAGCTCAGCCCCCCGCAGCGCCAGTGACCAGCACTGCCCTGGTCCCCCAGAAGAGCCCTGCTGCCCCTCCCCACTCACAACGGGCAGGGAATCAAGGCTGCACCTCACCTTGAAACCATCAAAGCAACACCTGACAGAGGAGAAGCAAAGTTATCATGGCACAAGGCGGCTGATGCTCTCACTCCAGTCCCCTCCAGGGCCATTTTGGTTATCTCCATTTGTCGGAGGGCCAGAGGAAGGACGGAAGGTAATACAGCAGCCCTGCGTGCCAGGGGTCACTGGGGACCCACAGCTTTCCTCCATGGGGCAGCTCTGCCCAGGCCTTGAGGAAAGATGAGGGGCAGTGACCTTGCTGCAGGGAGCTCTCCCTGCCCTGCCCAGCCAGCAGTCTGGGGGAAAAAAAAACCCCACACCCTTTGAAAAAAAAAAAACCAAAACAAAACCAAAGCACACAAGTAAGGGAGAGACAACCGATGTAAAAAGCATAGTAACAGATAGATTCTCCTCCCCTTCTGTGCTGCAAAACCAAGAGCTCCAGGTGAGGAGCCCGGAGAGCCGGCAGGAAGGGGCAGCAAGAGCCCTTGGCCATGGGGAAGGACAAAGAGCAGTGAGACCGGAGAGGGTCTCATGCAGGCAGATCTCTCCTGGGCACATTCCCCCCTTGGAGCCACATCCAGGCAGCGACCAAGAGCAGCTTCAATGCTGACCCTCTCACTGCACAATTCAGTAAGAGCCCAGGCGGCTCCGTGGCCCCCCGCAACAGCTTCCAAACACCCTTCTCTACTGCGCGAGGTGCCTACCAGCAGCACATCCAGCCTCCTGCAGACCAGCCTGGCCTCGAGCTGCAGGATGCAGTGCTCTGCATCAGAACAGACCAGTGCCTCCCCCCCGCCCCGAGCTGTCCTGAGAGCCAGGCTGTCTCAGCTCCCCAACCAGGGCAGACCCAGAAAGGCACAGGTGGTGGGAGAAGTCTAGCCCAGGAGGTGATGGCATCCTCTGAGCAGCAGCCGTCACCTCTTTCCAGACAGAGCCCCTGGAGAGAAAGAAAGAGAAAGAAAGAGAGAGAAGGAAGAGCCCCACAATACCCAGCTGCCCCACAGTACCTGCGTCTGTATCCTGTTGAGACCCCTGAACCACAGGATCTGCCCGCGCCGCAGCTCCATTTCAGCGTGGTCAATCTCATCCACATCTTCAGGCAGCTCCTCCTCTGGGATCTCCTCCTTGGTGATGCCGTGCCCAGCTTCCTTCAGGAATTTCAGGTGGCTGGTTGGGACAGTGCAGATCAGCTGGGGAGAGGCAGGGAGAGAGCAGCTCCTTAGCTTGTTGCTGTGGCAGCACGGAGCACACTGCCAGCCTCGACCGAGGGGGAGCATTCCTGCAGTGAGCTGCCAGGGACTCAGCCAAGAGATGCCAGGATGCAGCTGAGAAATGCCACTGCTGGATGTGCCCCACTACAAGCAGGGTGGGAACAAGGAGTAGATTAACAATCTCCTCTCCTCACTGCTGGGATGGTACTGGGATGAAGCATCACCCCCTTCCAAAGCTGCCTTGAATAAATACTGGGCAGAACAAGAGCAGCGAGGCAGCGGGAAGGGGGAGGCAGGCTGGGCTGCGAGCACGCTGGAGCACAGGCACATCGTATATTTTTCAGACTGGCACTTACCTGGCCCCAGAGGAGCTCTCCTACTCCGATAAAAATACACCAGAACCACTGGCTCAGGGTGAGCCCAGAGCAGCTGAATGGCTTCCCACCAAACTCCACAATGATGATCTACAGCACAGGAGAGAACAAGTCACACACTGGGGAGCTCCAAGGGCTGCACAGCACAGCCACTGGATAAAAAGGTCACCTACAGCCACACATCTTTCCCCCCTTCCCTGGGCTCACGAGAGCAGCAAGGACCTCACATCTAGGCTAATAACACCAGAAGGGTGCTGGCTGGCCCTGGCACCTCCCCACACACACACGACCCCAATATTCAAGTTTTGTGTCACCAAGAAGCTGCTGGAGAAGAAGAATAAAGATACAGAACAGAGCTGTGGGCCATGACTGCAGCAGACACAGGTCCTGCTCGTGGCGTGGTCCCCTCCCAGCCCCACCATCTCATTCCCACGCTGTTCCCGCAGCTTCACCTGAGCTGCAAACGTCCCCAGCACCACCGTGCAGAAGATTGGGTTGCGGTAGATGGACTCGAAGACATTCCTCTCCCCGTGGATCTTGCGTGCGTTGATCTCGTTGAACAACTGCATCATGACAAAGGTGTTGAAGACGATGGTGTAGTGCTCGGTGGGTGGGGAGTGGAGCGGGGCATTCCGGCCGCTGTCAATGTCGAAAAACTTCTCCCCTAAGACGACAAAGGGTTTTGGGGAGGGTGGGGAAGAGAGAAGATGAGATCCTGCTCCTTCCTTCCGGCTCTGACTGATAGAGGTGGAATTGGGATCCCAGGTTCTCACTGAAGAGTCCTTCACCCAGCTAGAGTGCCCCAATGCTAACCTCACTGAACCCTTACTTCCTTAAAAAACGTTGAAAAGCTGCTTCCTTGGCTCAAACTGTCTCTGCACCCAAAAAGACCTAGAGAAAAAAAATCCTCTCATTATCAGCCCTCTGTTTCCCAACCATTAAATAAGCTCTGTCCTGGCCAACCCGAGGTCACTGAGTGACAGCTGAGAGCAAGGGTCCCCCACACTGGTGACAAAGCGTGGCTTGCAAGGCAGAGCTGGGACTCTGCCCCTTTCTTCCCCCGCCACCCCTGATGTTTCTTGTGGCCTCAAAGCTCACCCGCGAAAAGCAACGTGAAAATGATAGTCAGCTGGTACACCGCGTGCCCCAGGATGTTCTTCATCATGGTGCGGGAGATGAGCGGCTTGTTGCGGCCGTAGGGCTTGCGCAGCAGCAGGGACTCGGATGGGGGCTCTGTGGCCAGGGCTAAGGAGGCGAAGGTGTCCATGATCAGGTTCACCCACAGCATCTGGACAGCCTTCAAGGGAGAGTCCTGCAGAGAGAGCGAGGAGAACACATCATGCCACCGAAAGCACCCTCTTTTCACTCCTTGTTTCACAGGAGCCTCCACTCTCCTCCTGACAAGCCCAGCCCCGTACCTGCGTGATGCAGGCGCCCGTGAAGGCCACGATGACGGCCACGATGTTAACAGTCAGCTGGAACTGCAGGAACTTGGAGATGCTGTCATAGACGTTGCGTCCCCACATCACTGCCTTGACGATGCTGGTGAAGTTGTCATCCGTCAGGATGATGTCCGAAGCCTCCTTCGCCACGTCCGTGCCTGCAATGCCCTTGAGGACCAGGGAGAAAGGGTTGGGGTGAGTCACAGAGCAAGCCCCATGCTTGCTGTCCGCCTGGCTCTGTTTCTTTCCTCAGAAATAGCCCCAAGAGAAAAATCTGCCGGAGCCAGACCCAGTCCTGGGTTTGACAGCGAGTCCTGCTGCGGCTGCGCCAACACACCTGAGAGAGCAGAAGCTCAAAAGCAGCAAAGCCTTCAAGGACAGACAGCAGCTTGGCTATAAAGCAGGGCTCTGAGCGAGCATCAGCTTTTCAGCCTTTTGCTGTGCTGACCCAGACAGGGGCCACAGCGCAGCAAAGCTGGAAAACAGCTTGTAAGTGTGGCTTCCTCCATGTGCCAGGGAATACGGACATCCCTGGCTGGGCATCTCTGCTGCAAACAAGGGTCAGGATCCCCAAAAGAGAGAGAGGGAGCTCAGTAGCCCAAAGCCCTGGTGCCTCCCTGGTGCTCTCTGCCCCATCCGGGGCAGATGGCAGCCCTGCAGCAAGCAGGGTTGCTCACACCCTCCCAAAAATCACCTGCAGCATCTCCAAAGGACACAGTTTGCTCTACAGGAGCCGTGCTCGCTGCGTTTCTCACCGCCGGCACACAGAGGCGCTGGCTTTGCAGTTATTAAATGCAACAGAGCAATGCCCCGTAACTAGACGGTTCCCTGGTGCCTTCCCAGAGCAACCTTGAGATTTGCAAGACCCATCTCGGGCGGGAATCCTGCAGCTGTTGCAGGACATGAGCTTCGGAGGCAGCTGGATAGAGCTGCCCCCTGCGCCGGCTGCTCCCCACGCTCGGCAGACCCGAGGGCAGCACAGCCCCGTGCTTGGCCAGGGTCCGATCCTGCTCGCGGTACTGCACGGTCCCCAAGAGAAGACAGACCTTCTGCTGTTCATCTTAAAGGCTCCAGAATTGCGCTTGGATATTTAACAGCTTCCTAAAAACACTCACTTCCCCCCAAAATTTCTCATTTGCTCACAGCTGCCTACATGGGCTCATAAGGCTCCACCCAGCAGCTGGCTCCTGCTCCCATACCTAAACTTAAACAATTCACAGGAAACCCATTAAAACCGACAGGTTTATTTCCTTGCTTCTTTCAGACATGGCAAATATAAGCAGCAAACCAGGAGATAAGGACCATAAATAAACTCCCCAAGACATTGCCAGCACTGCACTCAGAGCCTGGGCTGCCCGTTACGAGCCTGGGTGAAGAACTCCAGGGATAAACCACGTCACGTTGAGTTACTGGGCTCCCACAGCTCTCCTGGGCCCCACAGCTCAGAAACTGGGGCCAGGCAGGTCCCTGCTCTGGGTGCTCTGCAAGCACCATGTCACCCTCAGCTTGATATGGTCCCTCCAGAGGGGACAGAGGAGTTTAGCGCTAAGCCAGGCTCTCAGAGGATTGCTTCCCACCCATCTTTGGCTAATAGTCCTATAAAGTTCATAAAAAATAATTAAAACCTCCAAAGAAAGTTTCTTTTTTAAGCCATCCTGTAGATTCGGAAAAGGGTTTTGCCAGTCCAGAAATAATTTCAGTGCTGACAATAACCAAGCGTTCCATTGGTTTCTCATCCCAGAGAGCAAAGGCCACCCCCAGGGAAACCCCCCCCGACCCGTCCGTACCATGGCAAACCCGACGTCAGCTTTCTTCAAAGCTGGGCCATCATTGGTCCCGTCCCCAGTCACGGCCACCACCTGCCTCTGGTCACCAACAGTGCTGTCGATAATTCCTGAAATGGAGACAAGCAGTTTAGGAAAAAAATAAGACCCAAGGGCGGGCTTGTAATCCAGTATGGATTATGCTGCAAAAGGACCCGGGCAGAGCAGGATGAGACACTCTGGGGACACGCAGCGGCTGGGGGGGGCCCAGTGCTCACCTTTCACAAGCGTGTGTTTATCTGTCGGGGAGGAGCGGGCCAGCACACGCAGCTTGGGCCAGATCTTATCCAGCTGCTCCTGTTCTACCTGCAGGACAAGGCACATGTGAGAAAGTGAAGGGATCCCCCACCCCAGAAACCTTCTGCCCCACTGGGAGAGCAAAGCCCAACTGGGACAGGACAGTGCATGTGCCTGACACCCAGACCCCCTGCGGCCACGCTGGCTGAGGATCCCGGCGAGCAGAGGGACCAGCTGCCCTTTATCCAAGGAGAGGAAGAAAACCCAGCGGGATTCAGCTGCTGGGGCTGTCGGAGCGGCCACCCACACCCGCTGCAGAGCAGGACCCAGGGCTGCTCTCTCACCTCTCCCTTCTCGTTGCGGATGAGCCGGTTGAACTCCTTCCCCTCCAGGCACAAGAAGTCCTCCCCGGGGAGCAGGATGCCACACTTGGTGGCGATGGCGCGGGCAGTGTTGATGTTGTCCCCTGTCACCATGCGGACGGTGATCCCCGCACGCTGGCACTTCAGGATGGCGTCTGGCACCTGGTAGACATGGACAGAGTTGAGGGGGGGACACGACAGGGCAGGGTGCTTGGCTTTGGCACTGGGTATGCCGGGAGCCAAGTGGCTCCTCTCCCATCCTCCCTAAAAGGATCTGAAAAGGGCCCTGGTGGGGTCAGGAACCAGCAGCCCACCTGCACCCACCCAGGGCTCAGCTCGGTGCTCCCACTGGGGATGAGATGCTGAACCAAAACCTGCCTCCCCCCACCCCAAATCAGCTCAGCTGGGGTGCAGGGGGAAGCCACCAGGGCTCGGAGAGTTTGCCTGCCCCTGCTCCTGCCCCGCAGCCCCCTGCCCTCGCCGTGGCTCCAGCCAGACTCGCGTGTGTGGCCGGAGCAGCTCCTCTGGCACAGCCAGCGCGAGGTCTTGCAGCCCCTGCCCCACGGGGAAGGCAACCTCGCTGCCTCCTCCCTGCCACGCCACGGTGCTGGGCGCCAAGGCAGGGCCGGGCAATCCATCAAAACGGGGACATTTCATCCACCCCCGCCCCCGGCACCACTCCAGCAGCACGTTGCTGCACTAATGGGTTTATCTATTACGGAGTGGTGGGGGAAGAGGATGTTAGTGAGAAATTAGCAAATTGAATCAACGGCCTCCAGAGCCGGTGCAGATGGGGCATCTGTTATGCAACTCCCAGACCCAGATACTTGAACATCTAATCAGGAAAGATGCAAGCAAGGCAGGAGCGCAGGGGCAAGCTCCAAAATGTAATCAAAAGGCAGGTATCAGAGGGCTTATTGCATTAGCCCAGCAGGGCAGCAAGCTGGGAGGGAGGAACCACCTAGATCTGCCCTGCTCCTCTCCGAGACCCCTCTGCCACCCCTGTGGTGTCTCCATGCCCCTTTCAACAGCACAGGGAACCAGTCTGGCTTGTGCACAAATGCCCGGTAGCAGTTGGGGGAAAGTTTGGGTGGAAATACCCTGCCACTAAGTCATTTTGTCCAGGTATGGGAGAGAAATGTCTGCAGCAGGGAACTGGTAGCGTGGGGCACTTCAGGGGTGGAGGCAGAGGAGCTGCTTGTGCTTTCATAAGGGGCTCATGGTCCTGAGCAGCAGGAAAGGGGGGTCCCAGCTCAGGACAGCCAGGGCAGAGCTGGGGTTCAGTTACCTCCGGCCGCACAGGGTCCTCTATCCCAACCACAGCGATGCAGGTCAGGTCAGACAGGATCTCGTTCTCGCTGTCCCAGTCCGGCTCGGCGTCGGCGGGGAAGTCACGGAACGCCAGGCAGATGGTCCGCAGCCCGTGGCAGGCCATGGGCTCTATCACCTTCTTCACCATCTCATCCCGGTCCTTCACCTTGAACACCCGGGGGTCACCGTTCTTGTCCAGGATCCTGGTGCACCTAACACAGGACCGGGATGGAGGGTGAGGGGACTGGTGGTGACACGTGCTGCCAGCTCAGCAACCTGCTCCCCCTCACCCAGCTTCCTCATCTGCAAAATGCCCAGGGAGGGGGTGGAGGCCCCACCCCGGGTGTGTTTAAGGGTCATTTAGATGAGATGCTGGGGGACATGGTGTAGGGAAGAACTTTGTAGAGTCGGGCTGATGTTCGGACTCAACGATCCCAAGGGTCTTTTCCAACCTGAATGATATGAAAATGGGGGCATCTCCTTACACACAGCTCCCTACAGCTTTACCCAAGCCACCCTAAGAGAGTTAAACACTTTGCACAGCAACACCTCCTTGCTCCACAGCAGCGGGGCACCCTTCACCCCCCAGTCCCCCAAAACAGCTCCACGGTGCATCAAGAGTCTAAAGCCCATGGGACAGGGAGAGGCATAGCAAGGGAGGACGGTTACTTGCGGAGGATGATCTCGGAGGCTCCCTTGCTGTACATGCGGAAGCCACCGTTGCCATTCTTCAGCACCGTGCTCATGGATTTGCGCACTGAGTTGAAGGTGTAGACCTTGTAAAGCTTCTCCTCCGGCACCTCGTTCCGCACAGCCTGGTAATCCTGCTTCAGGTCCAGCACGAAACCCAGCAGAGCGCACTCGGTCTTGTTCCCCACTTGCCGGGGTAGCCCCCCTTCCTTCTCAGGTGGCTGGAGGGGAAGAAGGGAAAGGAAAAGGAAAAGCAATGCCAAACCTCGGTACGGTAGGACAGGGATGGTCAACGGTGGGAAGGCCAAAAGACATGAGGTTGTGGTTCTCCAACTCACCAAGATCTTGGATGTGTAGGCAGAGTTGATGGCAACACCGTTGACTATGAGGTCCAGGATCTTGGGCAGGATGGCTTCGGGGTCGGGGATCTGGCGGTAGTGTGTGTCCCCCACGTAGGCCTGCACCACAGTCATGCGGTTCATGGTGAGCGTGCCCGTCTTGTCCGAACAGATGGCGGTGGCGTTGCCCATGGTCTCACACGCATCCAAGTGTCTCACGAGGTTGTTGTCCTTCATCATTTTCTGCAACAGGCACCATGATCAGGAAGATCAGAACCAAAAACTTGAATTCCCCCTTCACGCCCTCAGTGACCCCACTGCACTGTGGTCTCACCTTCACGGAGTAAGCCAGGGAGATGGTGACTGCCAGCGGGAGCCCTTCAGGCACAGCCACCACCAACACAGTGACACCGATGATGAAGAACTTAACGAAGTACTGGATGTAAATGGGGGTGCACTCTGCCAGCCATGGCCGCCCCTGCACCCCAAATGTGTCGATCACGAAGTACAGCACCAAGATGATGACCGTGATGGCCGACATGATCAGCCCTGGGGGAGGAGACAGAGTGGCAGGTGAGGGGACGCAGGGGAAGGGGACAGCCCCTTCTCCTCGTGCCACTTCCAGCAGGGGCTCTGGGGTGACAGCTCGTGTCAGGCCACCGCCACTCACCTGCCTTCCCGATCTGAACTGCCAGGCGCGTGAGCTTCCCTTGCAGCACAGACTTCTCCTTCTTGGGCACCTTCACCTTCTTCTTCTCCTTCTCCTCATTTTCCACCCCTTCCTGGCTCTTCAGGGGCTGGATCTCTAAGGCCACACCATCCTGAGTTTTAGCTACAGCCCAGGGCAAAATAAGACACCACGTGTGAATAGGAGAGAGACCGGGAAAACCTGTAGGACACCACTGAGAAAGATGGTGGTGGGAGAGAGAGAAAACCCAGAACAAGAACTGTTCCCGATGACACACGCATCCGAGCACACGGAAACCTCATGTCCTGGGGCCCTGCCACCTCTCTACAGAGCAGTTTTCTGCCGTCTACCCCAGCCCCACGGATAAAGGATCCTCAGAGCTGACACTGGTGAGGTGACCCCTGCGCCGGTCACACCTCTAAGGCAGTGCTGCAGGAAACCCTCTGGTCAGGCTTTGGGGTGGAGGCAGGTCTCCTCTGGCCTCCCCTGGGGGCTCATTTACATCTTGCAGCAGACAGGGAGCACTTTGGGCTGACCCCAGAGCGGCTCCAGTTCCCCCCAGTCCCCCGATGAGCATCCCCACTCCCTCCCAGTGCCACCTCTGCAGTGCCCTGTGGGCAGCTCAGCAGGAATCACTTGCCAGGGAAGCGACTGAGCGGGTGAGATGGAGGGGGACGGTTAGAAATTGGGATGAAGATTGAGGAGGAGTGAGCCAGCTCATTGAATCCCAACCCTGAGCCATCCACCACATTTTTAGGCCCCGAGACAACCAGGCTTTCAGTTGCTATAATTGGTCTAGTCCAGCTGAAGGTCTGCACCGGGGAGACCCAAGTCAGCTGGAATTTTTGGAGAGGGATGAGGCGAGGGTGGGAACCCCCCTGCCCCGAGAGGCTCCTCCTCAGCTGTCGGGGCTGGAGGAGCAGCAGTGGCCCCGTGGCTGCCTGCAGACGCCCCTGGGACCTGTCCCCTCCCGGCTGCTGCTGCTCGATGGCTTGAGACACCCTGGAGCTTACGGCAGCTCCACATCGGACACCTCCACGGTTACGACAGACCCGACACGGACAAAACAAGCACCCGGACACAGTCTGACGGGAAGGAGGGAAACTCAAACTGCTGAGAGGAGAGAGAAAGAGAGAGAGAGGTGGAGAGAGAGGTGCAGAAATGGGCTTCCTCCACAGCCTGCAAAGAACAGTGTGAGAAACACTGGCGAGGAGACGCTCACGGAGTCGAGGCCATGGGAGGAGAGGGTGCAACCGTCACGTTGGCCAGGCCCCGTGGGACATTTCATCCCAGGAACAGCAGGAGGAGACCCACATCTCTCTCCCAGCTGTGCCCAAACACAGACCCTGCAAAGGGACAGCTTCTGATGAGCACAAGGGCTTCAGAGCCCCCAGGTCACAGCTGCAGCTCATGTCAACATGGATGATGTTTGGCCCAAGAATGGGATGCTCTGGCAATAGTCCAGGCTGCTGGAAGAGCCCTGTCCTCCCTGCACAAAGGCTTTGCCCCACGTAGGGGCAACGAGGCCCTGGGAAAAGCCAGCCAGCACCATCCCAGCTACGCACAGCCCTGTGGTGTGGTGCCAGAGGGCACCGCGACGCCGCGCCGGGGCCACCGGCCGCAGGACCATTGCACCCTCTCCCAGGACAACGAGGCGAGAGTCCCGCCGGAGCAGCAAAGAGCACAGACTGATGAGAAGAAGGAAGGAAGGAAGGAAGGAGGAATGCTCGGTAGTTAGTGTGGTGCTGGTTCAAAGGATGGAGAGGCTGGTTACCTTTGTTGCGATTTTCAGGGGCTCCGGTTTTTTTACCTGTTCAAAGAGAGAAAGGGTGGAGGGCTGAGCACAAAGACCCACGTTCACCGTCCGGCTGGTGGGACAGCCCAGAGCCTGCCCCGCTCCGAGGGGCCACGCACCGCTCCAGCGGCATCCGTGCGCAGGGCTCAGCACCCTGCGGTCACCCTCCGGACACCACACGTGCCTTGGTCCACAGCTCGCACCACCGGGAAGGCTCTGGAGCTCCCTGGCTCCCCCAGGCACCCCGTGTCCCCAAGGCTTCAGATTTCCCCACCTGTGAAGCACCCACTACAACCCCTGTCAGTGCTTCAAGGGGTGCCAGCAGTGTCTCAGACCTTCGGGGAGAAGAAATCATAGCAGAGCTTGACCTCCACGCAGCACGTGCCGAGCACCGGGGCTCCCTACGTCCCGCTGCCGTCGGGTGCGAGCGGATCCGCCCAGGAGGTGCAGATTTGTCCCCTGCCATGGGCAGCGCTACACCCATAGTAGGGGGCTCTGTCCCACCCCCGGGTCTGTGCTGGTCTGCTCACGGGGGTCCCCAACGTGCCTCCACAACCCAGGGCTGCTGCAGTCTACAGCCCTGAGTGATAAGGGGATTATCCACCTTCTCCCCATCACCCCAGTGGGGGGCGAGCCAGTGAAGCCCCCTGCCCCACTTTTCTCCCAAACGGAGAGCTGCAAGGCACACAGCTGCATTTTCTGTGGGGCTGCGACAAGAGCCTGAAGGCTGGGAACACACCAAGCACTGTGCCCGGCGAGCTGCTGCTCAGCTCCAACAGCAGCGCCGCTCCCACACCTCACCCCGTACTCCCACCTCCAAGCTGGCAGCTGAACCCCAAGAGCTCCGCAGCCACCAGAGCCCAGTGATATGAGCCAACTGCCCGCCCCGGGGCGAGCGGAGCTGAGAAACCCAGCGCACATGCGGCCCAGAGCTGAAACGGCTGCCAGGAGAGGCCCAGCAAGCCTCTCCCCCTGCCTGGCATCGCCTCCCGGGAAGGGCTCCCCGGCGCAGGCAGCGATGCCAGCCAGCAGCTCCCTCCTGCCAGCTCCTCGCACCTTGCCGCTGCTCCCAGTGAGCCCAGACCTGCTGAACTGGGGTGCGTGGACACGGGGGAGAGCAGGAGCTTCCCAAGCCTGGCTCGTACCGGTGTTGGCACAGAACAGGGGAATAAGCAGCAAGATTTAAGAGCCGAGGCAGGAAAGCATTCGAGTCCCAGCATGATCAGGAACACCTCAGCCTGCCTGGCTGCTCTCCTACCCTCCACCTCCCCAGCACACAACCCCTCCTCTCCCTCTCGCCATCCTCTGCGCCTCGCCTCCTCCCCTCAGGGAGCCCAGGGGCTGCCAGCAGAGGTCTTCAGCAAAGTCCTCAAGGTTCTGGATGGGCTACAAACATCCTGCGGACAACCAGGACTCACCTTCCCCCCATGGGGCGGGTAAGGAGCACGGTGCCACAGCATCGCTATCGGCCACTTTTCTCTCTGAGCATCAACCCCCCCCCACCCTGCAACTCCAGGCTGCAGCCGGCTGGAGAAGAGAGAGTTGGAGCCGTGTCTGAAAGAGCTGGCGAGCAGAGGTCTGGGTGCACGGGGAACTTTCCTCAGGCAGCACGGTCCCCACGCTGCGGGCGAAGGGGCAGCAGGGAGGGATCCCCCCCTGCTACCTCAAGAGCTCACCGTACCTGCCTGGGTCACGGGCACTAACCCACAACCGTGTCCCACGGCTGTGGGCGTAGCTGCTTGCACACCGGTGGATGCTTCCCAGGAAAGGGAGAAAGGCAAAAGGTGGGAATAACGCAGGTGCAGAGGATCTCCTTACCTTTCTTCACTTTCTTTTCCTCATCTCCTTCTCCCGCACCCAAGAGAGTGAAGATGATTCCTGTCTGGGAGTTGATACCCACGGCAGTCACCACCATCCTGCCGGAGCCCTCCATCACGTGGGTACCTGGCAGAGCAGAAAAGCCACAGTGAGACCGGACAATCTCCTCCCTCCGACCAGGACACGGGACCAGCCATCTCCCCACCCAGCACAAACCCATCCCAGCCCCACACCCACCACACGAGAGCTGCCCAGATCCTCACCTGACAGCAGCATGGGGTCTTTTTCCAACGATTTCTTGACTTGGTCTGACTCCCCAGTCAGCGAGCTCTCATCTATTTTCAGGTCATTGCCCTGGATCAGGATCCCGTCTGCTGGCAAGAGATCACCTGGGAGAGGAGCAAAAAAAGGGGGGGGTCAGCCCTGGCACGGGCAGCCACAGCTCACTCCTGCCTGACCCATCCCTTAGTGTGTCAGCAAAAGGCTTCAAAACTCAGTCTCAGACTGAATCTAGAGGGAGGAGAAGCAACAGATGGGTATTGTAAAACAGATGGGTATTATAAGACGATAGCCAATAGCTCCAAAATCTTCACTGATGTACAAACGCATTCACTGTGAGGACTTTTGTTCAGACATCCCCCATCTGGTTTTACTGAATCAATACCACATCCTTCCCAAAGCCTTCTGATACCTCCAAACTGTTACGTGATCCCATTATCCACCCGCTGAGGAGGGAAAAAACCCTACAGGAAAATGAACCCCATGTTGGGCCAACCTCCTTCCTGCCAGGAGCTGCATGGGATAAGCATAACCCCTGGTAAACAAGGAGTGGGGCCTAAGGAAACATTCACCAACAAGGACGGGGTTGTGAAAATGAGTCAGTTTTGAGACCAGCAGGTCACTAAAGCAACCCCAAAGCTGTGTGCAAAGCCTGGCTTAACTTTGCCAGCCCAGCTCCAGGCTGGTGAGTGGCAAAGCGAGCAGAACTCCATCACCCGCCGCTCCCGGCTGCGGCACGATGCAAAATAAATTGAGCAGAGGAGTCAACGCTTCCTCTCAAGGCAAAGGGGTTGGCAAAGAGAGGAGGAACCTCCTGAGGTGCAGGGCCAGACCCCAGCCACCGCCGCCTCCACTCACCGTACTTGATCTGCGCGATGTCTCCCACCACGATCTCGGCCACCGGGATCTGAATCACCTGCCCCTTGCGAATGACCGTGAACTTCTGCTCCTGCTCGATGCGGCTCTGGAGGCCTCGGAATTGCTTCTCCTTGCTCCAGTCATTAAAAGCGGTCACCAGCACCACGATGATCACCGAAAACAAGATAGCCGCCCCCTCGATCCAGCCGGCCTGCGACTCGCCCTCATCCTCCACGCCGCCCGCTGACTGGCCGCACACTGCAGGCGGAGGAGAAGGTTTGTTTGCACAGCGAACACTCGCTTTCCTCTGAGAAACATGCACAGAGCAGAGCCTGCAAGACAGTTACTCCTCCCTCCTTCTCCCTGAGCTGGTCCAAGGGCTTCCCCTGCTCTCAGGAGATGGTTTTTACATCCCTGGAGGTATTTGGACGTTTTGTTTTTGGTGTTCCCCCCTCCCTCCCCTCTTTTTTTCACTTTTCATTTTTGGCAGAGAGCGGGGACAACTGGCTTCTATTTCCAGTTGGAGAACCCAGCCCTCCCTCCACTGCGTGACCCTCGAGTGAGTCACCATGTCCCTGCACCTCCGGCTCCCTGCCCCTGCTCAGCTCCTCCAACGATACAGATACCCAGGGCCAGGGAGGACAAACTCACCCAGCCACATGTGGGGTGTCACAGCTGGGAGGAGCACTCCCTGGTCAGGGGTGGGGGTACCAGGGGACAGCCAGACTTGTCTCTCCATGCCCAAATCAAAAGGGAAGCCCCATGGGATTTGAGTAGCCACTGGGCCAGATGGACCCCTCGGCCTTGGAGCATTTTTTTGGGGAGCGCACGAAGCAGCTCTAAGCCACATCTACCCAGACACATCCATCAGTGCGGGTCCCTGGATGGGACCACGCCAAGGATGGGGAGAAGCCACCATCTAAAGGGTGAGCAAAAGTAACTAACTCCCAGCTCCATCCGTATGGAGGGACCCAGGGGGTGACCTTCCAAAGACAGCACCCATCCCAAAGCCCTGCTCCCACACCCCCGGGCAAGGCACCCCACCCCACCCCCGGGACCTCAGGGACTCACATTCATTGTCACCACCCGGAGGGTGGTAGAAGGACAGGCCCAAGGAGATTATGGCTGCGATTTCCAAGATGATCAGTGTGACGTCCTGGAGTGCCTCCCACACTAACTGCAGGAACGTCTTGGCCTTTTTGGGAGGAATGAAGTTCTGGCCGAAGACCTGCCGCCTCTTCTCCAGGTCGGTCGGGTTCCCGGACAGGCCTGAAGAGACGGAGGTGAGGGCAAACCCCACCACTGCCCTGCAGCCCCCCACTAGCACCAGTGGGACCCCTGCAAGGTGCAGGCAGGGGGGAGCCAAGGCAGGGCTTTGCTGCTGTCACCCATGGGGCAGGGGACACGCAACCGGTGGGGCAGGAGAGCGCACGGGGGCCGGGGCGAGCACGTCGAGCCGCCTCTCCCCAGTGCTGCAGCCTCACCGAAGCGCCCGAGTGCCAGTTAATGCCAGTTGGCACTGGCCGGCTTGTTTACATGCTGCATCAAATTAGCCGTAAATCTGGCACCGCGAGCGGCGCTCGGAGCTGTCGGAGCCACCTGATCCCTCTCTCCTGCCAGCTCGCAGGAGCAGCCGCCGCAGAAAGCGACTCAGCGCAGCAGGAGCGTCTCCGAGCTCGGCCGAGCCCCACGGACGTGCCACGGCGGCAGAGGCCGGGGCAGAGCGGCCAAACCAGCTCCTGAGGGGACCTGGTGGAGGAGACACAGGGCTGGTCCTGCTGAAAAGGGGTGGTGGGAGCGAGGAAAGGAGCAGGATGGCCCTGAGCTGGGCTGCTGCTCGCTCCAGCTGAGTGCAGCAACCCCAGAGAAAGGGGGAGCAAAAGGGGGAGCAAAAGGGCTG